GTAAAAGCGCGAAATAACGCTCAGGGCGTCAATTCGAAAATTCGAGACCCCTAAAATAGCATATGTAACTTCAAATTAACGCCCATGGGCGTCGCGAATTAACGCGCATCCCTATAAATAAATATAGTAATAAAAATAATAAAATAAAAAGTGCTCCGGAGCTGGATTTAGTATTAATTAAACCTATTTTTTGACTTGATAAAAGTTGTTCTTCAGGTAGAGACGATTCTAATGGTAAGATCATCAAAAACGATTCAATAGTTCGCCGCAATGGCTCTTCAAAATTTTGTAACGTTTTACCTTTGTTTCATGATTTGCAAACAAGCGTCGCAAAATTTTGAAGAACATTACGGGTAAACTACTGGACCATTTTAATGGTTTTACTACCGTTAGAATCGTCTAGATCTGAAGAACAACTTTTTAATGCTAAAAAATATGTTTGCTTAATGCCAAACCCAGTTCTGGACTTCACCAACATTCATTTTGTAGACACGTTTCACTGACATGTTTATTTTACAAACAATAAATTCATTGACAAGTTTACTTTATAGACAATTTATTTACCCACAAGCTCATTTCGTAGAAAGTTTTTTCACCAACAGCTTATTTCACAGAAAGGTTTTTTCTTATAAATTACGATAATTTTAACCCTAGTTCTAAACTAACCCTAATAACAATGACTATAATTGCTTCGTCTGTGAAATGAGCTGTCGGTGAAAAAAGTGTCTACGAAATAAGCTTGTCACTAAAATAAACTTTCTATCAAGTGATTTGTCTGTGAATTAATTGCCAGTGAAGTGTTATGTCCATAAAATGAGTGTCGGTGAAGTGAGAAAACCTAAATAGATACTATATAATTAGGGGTGCGAATTCAATCTTTAATTCAAAATAACGCACATGCGCGTTGAAAAAGGGTAAACTGGATCGGACTTGGGGAAAATCGGCAATATGGTTATCAACTAACACTAAACTACTCCAAATCAACACTCTAAACTACCAAACTCTATCCAACCCTAATGTTGGAAGGCGGAAAGAGGCGTGGAGAGACTTGGTCCGAGTTATTAGGGCCAAATAGAGCTCTAGACTATGTCACAAGCTCTTGTTCGGATCACGGGACTATACTACTAATTATATGCAGATTTTACTTATCGGGGGGTAATTGAAGCGAAATGATGATGTTAAGATAATAGACTCTCGATGAGTCAAACTCTAATGAGTTATGACAACTCTTCGTGAGTTATGCCAACTCTTAGTTCTCAACTCTGAGTTCTGCTTTATTTTCAACGCGAAGTGTCTTCGCTTTTATGCTTTTTACAGTCTTTTTACAATACAGGTTTGTATAAGTTACATTTAGCCGCGAAAATTGATAAAGCTAATAAATTAAATATACTGAAGAAATTAAATAAAGCGACTATATTCACGAAAAGGGCTAAAGCTACTAAAGCTAATATTTCGAACAAAGCAGCTAAATTTAATAATGTGACTAAAGTCACGAAAGCGAATAAGTCTAATTTAACAGACTTATCATACAAGTCCTATATTTTAAGTTAAGTAACATATATAATAATAACAATAATAGCAACGGTATTGGAATAAAATAATAAAATAGAATAAAATAGAATAATAATAAAATAAATAAAATTTTACAGGGGCCCCTCACAGCGTACTCAAAATAACACGCAGGTCAATTAATTAACACGCATGTGGGCGTTATTTCGCGCTTGTACGGTAATCATTAACGAAGCTTGTTTCTTATATTGCCCACCTATCCTATAGAACATCCCTATATTCATACATTGTGTAATATCAAATCTGTTTCGAATGATTTAAAATCTATACTAGGCTTACAAGTTTTTCATGTCTCCAAATTTTTAATTGAAGCGAATATATATACCATGAACGGAGTGTAATGAAACATATGTTAAATGGTAAGTAAGTGGTGTGTGCGATTTTATATAATTGGAAATTTTTAATCGATCATAATTTGATCAATCAATCTTTCGAACATTTTGCAAGTGAGCGACCACATGATCAATTAAGAGAATTGTCATCTCTAGTTCAGAATAGAGGTGCAGGCAAAGCTCGAAGCATTGGAACGTACCGTAATCATACTCAGTTACAACTACCCACAATTTGCCGTTTTAAATGCTGCAAAGCGTATCTTGTGTATGCGCCTTTATAGTTAAAATGGTTCATCTGCTCTATTGATTAGTCGATTTTTATCATAATATACAAACTGGTAGAGCCGTTTTTTGCGTCTTAGTTATCTTAGTTATACAGAGTTACTTGATTAGTGTTTCGTAAGGGAAGTGTCAGTTATCAGCTGATATTGTAGAGTAGGAGGGGTAGACAAAATCTCAAGTCTAAAAACCAATCAGAATGGCTAAATTTCTCAGGAGGAGGGGAATAGGGTGTGTGACACGGTGGTCACGGGTAAAGACGCTGGTGAAATAGAATCGAAGTGGCTAAATAATAAATTATTAGTTTATATAGTATCTACAACTTATATATTTAGCAATGTTCATATGGGCTGCCGTCAATAGAAATAAGGCAGTTTGACGTTTAAAAAAATTAATACCTTAACTTTCACAGCTTGCATCTTGATGAATTTAAAACTATTGTCACGGGCTAAAAGGTAGATCGACGAAATTGGCGCAGCAAACTCATGACTTTAAGCAGATCATCATCGGAATTCCAGATCGACTAGTACATGAGGCTTACCGGCTAAATAACCAATGTGAAATCCGAAGAAGAATTCCAAGAAGAACAAATGAAGATCTAAAGAGAAGAAAACAAGAATCAAGAAATAATTAGAATTAGTTGTAATATAAATGTTGTAAGGGCAAAGCCTTTATTATTATGATCATGTTGTACTTATTGTTGTAAGCCCCTTTAGTTATAGTGATTCTTCTTTGATCTTTCGTGATGAAAGATCTGATTTATCTGATTTATTTCAAAGCCTCTTGAGATCATTAGATTAGTGAAAGTTATATAAACTCTGTATTTTTCCCTCTTGTAAAGGAGAATCTTATCCTATAGGATTATGATATTCCTAACATAATACATTGAATAAATCACCTTGATATATCATTTTAAAACTAAACTATTGCTAAATCACCATCGTCATGCCTCTGGCGAGTTGCCTTATCACCTAAATTTATATATTTTTGTATTTATCATATCAAAGGATACAATTCACTATCTTGATGATTTAATAATCTAAAGAAAGCTTAAGATCTAGCTTTTTTTGACTATTAAATCATCAAGATAACTTCAAAATTCATCGAGATGTAAGCTGTGAAAATTAAGGTATTAATTTTGTTAAAAACATCAATTTGCCTTACTTCTACTGATGGAAGCCCACAAATTAATATCTGCTTCAGATTTGACAGACAAAATTATCTTAGTAGAAAAAAAAAGTTTTATATAGATAAACAAAAAATTTAAATTTTATCTATAGCAAATTTAATTTTTTTACAGTGTCGCATGACAATCTCAAGTGCTTATATGCGGGAAAAAAAATAAAATTTAATTTTTTACTAAGTCATCCTATTTTTGTCTTTAATAAACTTTGTTCAGCATAAAATTTTGTATATACAGTCAGACCTCCCTAAATGCACGTCGTCGGGACCAGCTCAAGAGCGTGCATTTAGGAAGGGCTGCAATTAAAGAACACCAATAAAATCATAATGTGACTATTATTATGTGATAAGCATGATTTTAGTAGCCTAGAAATCATGCATTTAATTGGCTGGTAACCACGTGAATGCATTTATGGAGGAACTAGTGTGCACTTACAAAATAAAGAACGTGCATTTATCTATAAGTCCCACCATGGGCCCGGACCTATATCATGCATTTAGGAATAGAGGAATCTGACCTGTAATTGTATTTTCAAATTATTAAATCTTTTTTTTTTATAAAATTTTAAAAGTAAACTCTTTAATTTTTGCAAAATTTTAAAAGTCATTTTAAGTAAATTTATTCTACTATTATTGATATATTTAACCTCAAAATTCAAAAATAAGTTAATTTGTAAGTTGAAAAGGATCTTGAGCTTGAAGTTTATAGTAAATTTATATGGTTTTATTATAGTTTTTATTATAATTTATTACACAACGTAACATCTCACCTGACTGATACGTTCAAGCCCAATTATTGCTTAGATGCTTTTTTTTTACATATTTTAATATTATCAGAAAATATTTTTTAGTGCAGTTCTACGCAAACATGTAAATTTGCACAAATCTTCAAACCTGGTGGCTATTTTCACAGAAAATAAATACAATTGTCATATATGTTTGCACTTATAGAGGTTTCGGGCTCGATTCACTTAGTCAGAGCACTCACTTTGTATACTAGCATATTGTACCAGGCACTGCCACCTATACTACTGTGTATACTAAGATATGTATTCACTAAGAGACTTGTTATTAATTAGAACTTGCTTATCGATTCCTTTGGAATTGATATGCTTTTATTAGATTATCAATCCGGGTACTTGATTACCCAGGTTACATGCATTATGCAACAATACAGATAGACTTTTAATTAAATTCATGCATCAACAATCATGCCATTGACGTTACCCAGTCCCAATCGGATAACTCATGATCGTACCTAACCCTAGCACTATCAACACAAGGGGTGTTGGTCATCACTACAACAGGAGCTAGATCCCCAATGAACTTCATCCTGAAGTTCACCTAATAATTTCCTACAACTCAACACTAATGCAACATGAACCATTAATTATTAATTTACATATACAAATAAATATTAAAATATGTACAAACACATACACAAATAAAAGTTTTTTTTTCACTAAGATTTCTATTCCAAATGCATATCAATTCGATTTCCAAATATTGCATGCTCCACACCATTGCAGCCAATTGTATGATTCAAATAGATACGATCATAGAATTCTCTTTTTTTCATTTGATCTAATATGTCTAATATTCGTTTCAGATTCCAATCATCACAAGATTTTCACACTTTCAGTCAATTCCTCCAGATTTAGCTTCATGATCGTATCTAATCAACTTAGCATAATTCGATCCTCTTCTTGTTATTATTTCATCATTCACCATCTTGGAAATCATTATTTCATTCATCGCTTGCTTAACCTTAATAACAGTTTTCACATTGTTGCTTCTATTATTATTAATCACCATTTTTATTTCAAGGTCATTCTTTAATACATCTTCATTATTGGATGTTTTACCAATATCATCAATCAAATTTATTCCACCATTTGTTTTGGGTAAATCTTTAAGTTTAACATTATCCCCAAATATTTCACTCAAACTTATTGAACTAACCATCATACACCTTCTATCATTATTGTCATTCTTCTTATTATTATCATCACTCTCACATACCTTTATCACATCATTCTCATCATCGTTCACACTCTTAATGTTCTCTTCATTTTTTATCAACAATTCTAATAGATTTATCATCATCGCATTCATTTTCATCACTTGGTTCAACGATGCTTTCATCACTACTACTGGTTCTTCTTGATAACAATATTCAACTTCGATCATTTTATTAGCATCACTCATATCAACAGATTTTTGACAATAAACAAACATCTTATGTTTATCCTTTTCAACTTCAGCTCCAACGTCTTTCGGTTTATTCGATCTATTCATATTTCCAATGGTCTTCATGGATAAGATTTCATTTTTTATTTGCACCATTTTGCCCTTGAATGACTTGTTAATGGTTCTTTTTTTTTACCCTTTCTTATTCGATTATCCTTTTCTTTATTACCACTTTTCATAAATCGTACGTTCATAACATGCTTCTGACCTTCACATTTCACTTGTTCCGGGCAAGAATGAGCTAAGTGTTTTTGGTGTCGACACACATAGCACAGTCGAGGCCTTTGTCATTTCATCCACGTAGTGTTTAGGTTATTCATAACCTCTTTTACAACAATTTCCATTACCCTTTTAACTAACAATATCAGAAAACCTTCACCTTCTATTTTCTTTCGTTTGCTACTTCAGTAATGTTTAATAATATTTTTTTTTTGTTTTATTCGTTCACTAACAATGTCCTTTTGTATTTTAAAATATACATTTTCTCCACAATGTGTTTTGGCTTAAACTTCACTTGCTGAGTTTCTTCAAAAAGATTCCTTCCACAGAGTATAAGACCAGTTCTTTAATGAATTTTGCGAGTAAAACTTTCGTCTGCCCAGGTTCTTCTTTGTCATATATGTTTGCACTTATAGGGGTTTCGGGCTAGATTCATTTAGTTAGAGCACTTGCTTTGTGCACTAGCGTATTGTACTAGGCACTGCCACCTATACTACTGTGTATACTAAGATGTGTATTTACTAAGAGACTTGTTATTAATTAGAACTTGCTTATCAATTTCTTTGGAATTGATACGCTTTTATTAGATTATCAATCTGGGTACTTGATTACCCAAGTTACACGCATTATGCAACAAACAGATAGACTTTTAATTAGATTCATGCATTAATGATCACGCTATTGACATTACCCAGTCTCGATCAGGTAACCCGTGATCGTACCTAACCCTAGCACTATCAACACAAGGGGTGTTGGTCGTCACTATAGCAACAATTTTCACAAAATTTCAATTTTTAAAAAATTTTACACTAAAATTTTTTTTCTGATGCTGTAAAAATCTGTTTTCACAGAAAATTTTGGAAAAAATTATCTTAATGATAGTCTTTTGACAATAGCTAAATAGTATCTAAAATTTCATTTAAAAATTGTAAAGAGGCCAATTTGCACTTTATTTTTATTTTCTAAATAGATAAAATTTGCACTTTATTTTTATTTTCTAAATAGATAATATTTTATTACAGTTTCGAGATAAAATAGAATTTTGATTATACTAGGAAACAGGAACTGTAGAGGTCTGGATCATTATTTTAGATTTTAATTTTATAGCTTTTTTTAAAAAAATTTTATAATATATTATTTAAAATAACAAGGCTACAACCAACAACAGTAATAAAAGTACATATATATATAAAAATAAAAATTACTAAATCATTGTAGCATATTAATAATAAATAGAATACTTTCAATTCAATAACTTCTTTTTACTTGATTTAATAGTCTAAATACAAATATAAAAATAAGCAATAAATTTGGTTATTTATAAGTAAATCAAATATTACTTACCATTGGGAATTTCAACATATTTAATGTGTTGACTGAGTTGAATTACTAAAATATATATATAAATATACTAAACATATATTTTGAATTTAATTGAGAAAATAAATATTATTATCTGCATTTACTATATTGACATATTTGGAAATTTTTACAATTAATAACATATTACTAACTTTTTAAAAAATATAAGTATTATTATCTAGTTTAGAAAGTTTTGAAATATTCAAAAATCGACTTGTATAAATAGCTTGTAGATGTGTCTGATATTTGAATCATAATAATTTGACTTGATCATATGTTAAAAAATTTTTGTCTAAGCTTTTAATATTTTTAACTTGCTTAAATAATTCAGTTTTTTCTTTTTTCAACTTATAAAAAAATTGTTTTAGCGTATTAGCCAATTCTTTAGCAAATGGGCAGTTTTGAGGTTTTGTGTCTACGCACTTATTTATTAGATCCAAAAGTAATTGAGGAACTTCGTATCTGATTTCAGGTCTGTAATCTAGACAAATATATGTTGCTAGAACTTCATTGTGTAGAATATCATGATATGGGGGATATTTAGTAAGAACTTCTGACATAACTATTTCGAAAAAATAATGTCTGATTTTTGAGTATACTTCTTTTTGTTTGTGTATAGTACTTCTGAAGCAATATACGGAAGTATATCAAAAAGTTCTTTAGAATTTGAGTCTTGTGATACTGGCTTATATAAACCAAAGTTAGTAATGTAAGAACTAAACATATTTTGAGTAACTATATTGTCAGAATGAAAATCTTTGTGCATTAAATCGGCTTTATGAATTGTATTAAGCCCATCAGCTATGTAAAATAAGTTAGATACTTTAGAAGCCCAATCTAATTTACTATATTTACTATCTAACAATATTCCGAGACTTCTCTGCTTTGCATACTCCATAACCATTATGTAGTTACCATCTTTTGGATTCTTAGCTATTCCATAAATCGCAATTGCAGAATTGTCTCCATGTTTATGTTAATTTTAATATTAATTAGAATAAATAAGATTACTATATTTTAATAAGGTGATTTTTTTTATACTCTAAATTTAGTATTTATACTAAAATTTTTTTAAACTTTGAGCGAAAGAATCTCAGCAACCACTGGGCCAAATTTAATGAACTTTTTTTATTAGAAATCTATAAATTCATAGAATTGAAACAAAAAAAGTTTATTAAATTTGACTTGGTAGTTGCTGAAATATCTTCGTTCAAAGTTTTTAAAAAATTCAAGCGCCTATCAAAACATTATACTAAAATTTCTTTAAACTTTGAGTGAAAAGATGTATAATCTTGGATTTTTGATCAAAAGAAAATCTAAAATTAAGCATCTTTTAAATTTTGAAAAATTATAGTAGTTTAAAAAAAAGGTAGCTTATTCTTGAGTAAAATTCTCCAAAATGTAGGTAATTTGCTAAAAATAAAATATAACATATATAAAATTGATGTAATTTGATGAAATAGTCAATTATAAGAGGTGTAGCAACTTAGTGTAGTGGTCTAGTCATCACTCTCTTCAAGTGGCAGGTTTAGAGTTCAAATTCCACTGGCGACAATATTTGAAAAATAGGCCTGTGTTCGGTTGACGGCTATGTTTATTGGTTGGATCCAGAACTTAATCTGTAACTTCAGTCACACTATATAGAAATGAGAGCTTTGGCATAATAAATCTGAGGAACCGGCATAACCAAAAACCCATTTGGCAAGTCCTGAAATGAGAGCTTTGGCATAATAAATCCAAGGAACCGGCATAACCGAAAACCCATTTGGCAAGTCCTGAATTTGGAGGTAGCAATGATCTTTGATGGTACCACAGGAGGGCTGAATTCGAACCAGGGCCCAAGATCAGAGAACTGAGCGACCAGGTCTATTGGCAGAGGACACACCAGCTGAACCGCTGGGTTGTTGCCCTGAAGGAAAAGAGCATACGCTCTGAAAGTATAAACCAAGAGAAGGGCATTCTTTAGGCACTTAAAGTCTGGGCAGACAAACCCTTCCGGGTTGCTAGCTAGAAGTAAGAGATGGACCGGTAAAGAATCCGGGTAAGAAGACAGTTCAAATGCGGGTATCGAGGTTGTTGTGAACTGAATAAGGGCAAGAAGTACATAATGGGTGCCTAGTTAGAAAAGTTGGTACTTGAAAACATCTGTAGAACGGCAGCATCCAAAAGGTGGTGTGAGATATGCATACAGAACGGCCGGTCAATATATACTAATTAGAAAGAAGTTATAGGAATATGCAGGTGAATACATGTGTAGAATGTGTACTGCTCTGTTAGGTTTATCTCGAGGATAAACTAGCTTATGTTAGTAAGTCCTAAGGTAGGGTGCAAAATTCAAATTGGGTAAATGCAAAATCCATGTATGAATGGTGAGTAATATCTATGGGTTAGAGGGCTGATAATGATAGTTAGAACTAGATAGTTTAAATAAATACCCTGTAGTTGGAGTGCAGATATAGCAGATAGTGTAGAACCCTTAGTATAGCACTAACTTTTCGGGCAGACCACTTAAATTAGGCACCAAAAGTACATGTGTGGCTTGATGTACCATCATTGTAATTACATTATAAACCATCATTTATACTCTAATAAAAAGTTTCCAGGCCAAAGAGATCATCTTAATACCAAAAAAAAAAAAAATTGAAATAGTCAATTATGATCTATTTTAAAATTAACATCAATTTGCTAAAACTCAAATTTGAATCTTTAACTAAATTTTCTGCAATTTGCTAAAAAAAATATGACCTATATTATAGAAGTTCAGAGTTCTGATCGTTGGTTGTATCTCTTTTTGCTAGAAAACTAACCAATAAAAATATTGCAGTATATAAGTAAATAGTTAATTATATATAATATTCCAATTTAGATATTTTATATAAAGCCAAAATGAACAAATTTACTTTTTTTACCAAATTACAGTTTTGTCATTTTTTATACATTTTAAAAATATAACTTAAAAAGAATAAACTTATCTTTCTTACCAAGTTATAGTTTTGTTATTTTTGTATATTTTGAAAAATAATTTTGCTAAAAATAAATAAGAGAAAGAGGAGTATTATGATGAGGGGGTATAATGATGAATTGAATTATCTTGGGATTCAATAATAAAATTTTATTATTCGATTTTTTTTATTAAGAGGAATTAAATGGTGTAAATTTTATCTGATTCTGATTACATGATTATGAGATAACCCTGATTCATCATAATATTCTCTTTGTTATAAATATATAGAATACAATA